ATGGTTGGTGATACCCTACATCAAATCTAGCTATTCTCAAAACACGTACCGTCGATTCAACAAGTAGTTGTTTCCCTATTGTACACTTGATCATCACTGTGAACTATCCATGGGTCCCTACTAGTTGATTTAATTACCAGGTAAATAGTGACCATATCATTCTCAGGTTTTTTTTATTGGATGTTATGGAAGAGAGGAATATTTATTACTAAATAAACTAATGCTTCTTTAAAGATCATTGCTGTTAAAGTTAAGAGTTTAGCATTGTTACAGAGAATCAGGATATATAACTTACACATAATTGTTTTAGGGTTTAATGTAATAAACCTAGTAAACATTCTTGTCACACTGTGTGATAATATATGTACAATGCAGTGAAAACAAATTCATTCCAATCTTAAAACAGTACAGCATTTACTTTTTGGCAAGAAAACGTTTGATGATACTAGATTGGCATTTCTTTTTGATACTAGGAACCAGCTACCTGCCTCCTTAAACTGTCGCAGACAACTACAATGCAAGTAATACAAAATACATTATGATTTACATATGAATACTCTGTCAGTTTTAAATGTTGGTTTTTGTTAAATCCCATGGACAGGCAAGGACCAGCACAGGTATGTGGTTAATAAATACTAAATAGATGACATGTTTGCAGATATTAAGATGATTCGTAGGGTGGAAATCAAAGTTTTATGGAAAATATTTGTAGTTACTGGTGTTCCAAAAACTTAAAAGTAATTAACAACTTTAAGCAAGAAGTTGTGGATATAGACAAAAATTTAAAAAGAACACATTAAGATAACTGATATGTTAGAATTTTACAGTACAGACTGAAAGAAACTGTAGAAACACATGTTCTTGCCAAGATATCGGTAAACCAAACAACTTACTGCACTAAGCCTTGTTGAAGTGGCAGATGACAACAGCCAGACATTTGTTTTCCTTTTTCAGTGCTTCCTATCTATCCAGAGCTAGTCATAGTTAAACAGGAGTCTTGTTCGTGTAAATAGGTTAATGATTTAACTGTTACATATTGTTACACTGTTACAAGTACTTGTTTAGTAATTACTGGTAAACAGTTAAAAGAGCAAGTTATTCTTCAATCTTAATTATTTAAACAAATAAAGAATAGAGAGTATTAACTTTCTGTAACTTTTCTTTCATTAAAGCAGTCTTATTCTTTTTAATAGTATATATGGTAATGTAAGTATATGGGTGTGTTGGGCTAATGATTCTTCTACAGTAGGTGTGTGTGACTTGTTGGTGATAAATTTGACAATAAACGAACAGCACGCACACCACTTGTTTTTAAAATAATATATATATATGTATAATATTAGAAACAAGTTGAACATATATATAAATTTCTTTACACTATGTACATCATAAATGTATCTTAAACACTATAATTCTCTTCTTCTTGTAAACGGTCCATTTAGGCCTATTCAATTTCTTTAAAATTCAGTTGAGAAGCTGAACTATTTTTCTGTTATATATATATTAGTTGTATCTTAAACACCATACAGTTCTCTCCTTCTCATCAAAAGTCCACTTAGGCCAATTCAATTGACAAGCCAAACTATTTTTATCACAAAAGTATCCATACATAATTCACTTATGCTGTTGCATGAGTTACTGCAGTTGTATCTTGAACTTCTAATAATCATCTGCTTTTTTTTGCTTCCAAATATCATCTGCATTTTCATTCAAGTCCACACAGGTGGGTTCAATTAGCTTAGAACACCCTTTGACAAAACAAATTATTCTCCTTATCTCTTTTAAAATACTAATCTCACTCTAACATATCAACCGTTAGGGCTTTCACTCCTACGACGGTTAACTTTGTGTTTTCTAACTTTTCTCCCACCGAACTTCTCTTTCCCATGACTTTTTACTCTCTCTCTCTCTCTGTTGCCACTCATCTGGTTGCAGCTTTTTATATGTCTATCACTTAGGCCTTCTAGAAATCTCTATATCCTTGACATCAATGGATTGCATACATTGTTCGATAGCCTCAACATCATGGATTTACAAACAAAATACTTAATAATACTACCTACACTAAACAGTCTTTTATATCTGACAGTGATGTACATTATAAGGAAAAAGTTAAGCTTAAATAATACAATATATACAGAGTAGATTAGTGTTTTACTAAACCACTCCTAAGGATGTAAGATGTTACCTAAATATTTTTGTAATAATTAGTGTCAGAGAGCCTCTTTATTTTTGACAAGAAAAAATCCTGTTGACCATTATTTGTAAAAATATATTGAAAATAAAAATTAATTGAGCTATAGGTTCAGCTATAGCAATATGCAAAACAAGAAGCCATTACTTACCTTATTATTATTGTTTACACACAGGGTGAATCTGGGCACCAAAAAAAGAACTCTCACAGTTGAAATACCGAAACAAAGCTGTAAATGTCTTCCATGTATATTATAATGGATACTGAGTGAATAACAAAAAAATGTGTATTCCTCATTGTTTTAAAGAAGCTCTGACTAAAGTTTAGTGCTTGGTTATCTAAATATGATTTATACTAGTTTTTTGAAGAAATTGTAAAAGTTCTATGTCTTAAGTAGTGTTACATTTGTAGCCAATATTAATGGTATGCTATTGTTTAGTCCAAACAAGGTAAACACAAACAACAGATGTCACTGTGGCTAATTATTTAACCAGTGAACACAGCATTTTTGAAGTTGTGTAGAAGTGGAACACGAGTGAAGTCTCACCAAGGGAAGTAATACTAGTTAAGTGTAAGTTCAGTTGGTATGTATCTGCGGCTGAACAAGTATGTTTTGAATTATTTAAAGCTACTAAGGCAAGCGGCTGCTGCCTCCAACTTTGAACTGCTGACCAAAGAAGCAGCAACTGGCTGGTAGCACCACCAAATCTTAGGCTATGATATTTACCAATGAATAGGATTGTTACATTATAATCATCAGGTTGTGCTGACCTAGGGAGTTATAATTTAACAATCCTGTTCTTACAAGGTAAACATCAGGTTGTGCTGACCTAGGGAGTTATAATGTAACAATCCTGTTCTTACAAGGTAAACATCAGGTTGTGCTGACCTAGGGAGTTATAATGTAACAATCCTGTTCTTACAAGGTAAACATCAGGTTGTGCTGACCTAGGGAGTTATAATGTAACAATCCTGTTCTTACAAGGTAAACATCAGGTTGTGCTGACCTAGGGA